CTTTGTCCCGCGCGCTCCTTATAACGAGATTTAATTGCGAGATCCGCCAACCGGGCCACCCGGACCGGTTCGGCGTGTGCCAAATGACTCAGAGCGCCGCGTATGGATCACTTTATCCCCGCTGGAATTTTGTCCCCCCGCCGCGTTCCCCAAAGCGCAGTGGTTGGCATACGATCCGAAAGTTTCGAGCCAATTTTTCCTCTTCTTTTTTCCCCCCCTTTGTTATCGCGGTATCACGGCGATAACGATGTTACACGTCCGCTCTTATCGCGGCGATCTTGACACAAGATCTAGTAATAACGCTTATCTAATCGCCAGATCGTGCGTATCCGATAATCGCAAAGTCAAACACCCAGCTGTGTTGAAGCCAGGATTTCGCGAAAAATTTACATGATGATTTAATTAACCTGTTCATTTTCACGCGTAATTATAATTTATAATTATAACGTTTAAAACTGTTAAGTCTAGAGAAAATAATGCGTTTCACTCGCGTCACGCAATGCGCCATTGCGTTCTGTGTCTCGATATTTTTTCCAGTCATAAATATATTTGCAAGGTATATATATACACCTATATATAAAGGCGACTACGAATGCGCTATTGCGGCTATTCTGCAAAGTGGTATGTGTGCGTTAGATAGCGCGATTCATGTCGACGTCCAGATCTGTCACTGGCGTGGAACGCCAACGTAATCGGGGAACCACTGCCGCGGTAACGAGTGGAATCAGACGCACGCCAACTCGTTCTTCTGACCGCCGGGTGCCGAGCAAGCTGATATTGCTCAACAGGTTATTCCCTACGTGGCTTTCTAAACGCGTCGTGTCGTTGACGTCACTTATCTAGTTACCGCGACGGTTCTCAAGCTGTAACACTCGTCGCGATATCACCCGCACAGACAGGGGCAATTCGATTCGCAGTAATCTATAATATTATCTTCCCGAACGTCAGTTCCTCTCGAGTCACGTCTGGTATTGTTCTCCTCGTTCTCGCGTTGCCTTCCCCTTCGTTGCCTCTCAACAGACCCTGAAAATTTCCGCTAATCCGCAAAGACGAGGCGTATGAGAGGTACTGGTACGGTGCCAGTGAAGTGACCACGTTTATGCTCGCCTAATAATATCTCGGCGTTGTCGAACATTGCGCACATCCCTCAGATTCATCCGCGCGCGCATATCACGTTGAAACTCCTCGCTTTAGGCGCGCGCCTGACCGTATTCTTTCCGAATCTACTGCACTGCGACTATCAGAGCCTCCAGGCAGCGCGACCGGAACGCAGCCGAAAGTTTCGTAACGAGAAATCAATTGTGCCAATAAATATAGCTGTCGAAAGGATGAAACTGTTTAATCAACCCTGTCCCTGTCGCGCGTAAAACTCGGAAAACGGATTAGATAATTCAGCAAATTTGACATTAGGATCTACATGAGCCTTAGGAAATTCAAGCGAACTATTCTCCCCGTTTCTCGGAGCATTCCCAGACATCAGTCCGATCAACCAATCAACCGTAAACCGTGAATTAGCCGTGAGCGAGTAATCCATAGACGGATCGCGTACAACAGGAGAAGAAGATCCCGCGTGATAACGTCTCCGCGTCGGAAGTTCGATCGGCATGATTCGAATCTAAATCGACGAACGTGATTTCGGCGTGCGGTATTCCACCGATATTCGGCATGCGGCGCGTGTAGTACATACGGGCGTGAGTGTATATACGAGCTAACGGTTGCGCCGGCGCGCGTCCCGCGCGGTAAGACGACGTTCAAGCACGTATCGCGAATTTGCGAATCACTTCCTCGCCGGAGATGCTGCCTTGCTACGCGGTTCGCCAATTCGAAGGCCTGACGGTATTCCCGAGCCCTTCCTTCGCACGTCGTCCGCGTGCGTGCGCGCCGCGCCAATACTTTATATTGCGAGACGATGACGACGGGAGGGGGGGGGGGAGACGGTCGCGCGACCACCGATTAAGGGGTAAAAATTGATCTCGCGTGATCTTGCACGATGTGCAAAAATAAGACAACGAGAAAGTGAGAAGCGTCCTGTGGACTTACGTCGATCGACCGTTCAGACACGACCAAGAATTTTCTCCGCGCGAGACGTACGGTTCGCACATACGTGCCGTGCTTTCACCTCGTTATTACTCGGCGTATACTCGGTATGTACTCGGCATCGTAAAGGAGCATTTTTTTTTACTGCTTAGTTGACCTTTGCGAATTTTCTTCCGAGTTTAAATCCCACTTTTCGTTATCAACTAAAAGTAATAATTTTACATAACGATATATGGAAACGCGTTGACTGTATATAAGGATTTTTAGCGAAGGACAGAAAGGGACATGTTCAGTGTACTCGATAAATGTTATTCCCGCCTTCGATCTCCACGGGAGTGGATCTGCGGAGACGTCGTATCGATTAAACGAACGAAAGACGCATTAAGGCCGGCTATACACGCGGGCGCGCGTGTGGGCGAAGAACGGACGTGCACCACGTCGCATCGTGTCGCATCGCGGTAAGGAGACGATGCGATAATGCGAATTTGCGAATCACTTCCTTGCCGAAGATGCTGCCTTGCTACGCGGTTCGCCAATTCGAAGGCCTGACGGTATTCCCGTGCCCTTCTTTCGCACGCCGTTCCGCCGTACATACGCGCAAATGTCGCGCGTGACGTTGACGTCACCGCGCCGCGCCCGCGTCGCGCCGATATCTCAACGGGCGAGGACGACGACGTGGACGGTCGCGCGTTCGGAGGATAGAAATGATTATGGCCACTCGCGGGTATATGCGCGATGATGTGCGAGAATAACGTGCGAAAAAGCGAAAAGCGTATAGGGTACGCCTCGGTCGACCCGATCGGACATGACCAAGAACTTCCTCCGCGCGCGGCGAGACGTACGCGGTTCGCACGTCTGGCGCCTCCATCTCATTATAATACACGTATAGTCGGCGTAAGAATAGAACAGTTTTTACCGCTTGGGTGACCTTTACGAGTTTACCTCCGCGTCGTAAATTCTCCGTCTTTCGTTATCAGCTAAAAGTAATTTCTAGATAACAGATATAGAAACGTCGAATAGGTAGAAGATTTCTGTTTTTAGCGAGAAAGAGAGAGAAGGAGCAGGAGGGGCGGAGGGGGAGGGGCATATTTAATGCGCTCTATGGATGTTATTACGTGATTTTGATCACTACGGGAATGGATCTGTGGAGAGATGTTATTGATTTTATTGAACGAGAAGAGCTTTAATGTCGACCGTACGCGAGGCGCGCGCGAGACGCCGAGTTCAAGCTGCGCGGGACTAATTAAGCGACCGTGCGTCGTTAATGACGACGTGAGACGTGTGTGGATGCAGCGCGTCAGTTGCGAGCGTGGTGTCACGCGACGCGCACAGTAAGTTTGCTCACCAGGAGAGCAGATTCGTGCGGAGGACTTGGAGGCGGCGGGTACCCTTATCGTTCACTCTCTCTCTTTCTCTCTTTTCCCTCCTTCTCTCCCTTTCAATGTTAGATAACCGCAATGGCGTAATAATGGCGCATTCCCTCTTGCGAACCATCACTATTTAGGGAAACAATATAAAGGAGTCTGCACCCGCGCGTATAAAAGAAATGATACAAATGAGAAGAACGAAATTTATGAAAATAAGACATAATAATTTCGTAAGAAAGTAACTGCACGCGAATATTTTGAATATTCAGATATGGATATTAATGTTTCTTATCTTGTACGCTATTCCTTGGTTCTCTTTGAACGTATCGTTGCATTAATATGTTCGCGCGTTTATTCGTTGTTCGACGTGATTACTCTTTTAGCAACAAAGACGCGCATTTTATATGTGATGTCATTCTACATTTCCAAAGAATGCAAATATTCTATAGGTAATAATTTAATTTTTATCATTTTTATACTAACACCCATTAAATTATATTGCTAAATGCGATGAAGAGATGCTGCTGCTATTTCGGCATTTTAAGGGATAGCGAAGTAGCCGGGGCGATGCGTTGCGAGAGGCCGCGGCGCGAAAAATTCCATCTCGCCATCTGCACCATCGCGCTTCGGTCGACTAGACAATCGTCGGAGACTCTCCCAGGTGTACAAAGGTGTACTTTTTATTAACCGATCTCTGGCCCTGTTTTCGTAATGCAACGACTTCTCGGTAAATCTGATCTCCTAGTGACGTCGACTGGGTAACTTCAGTCAAGTGTGACCATCTTGTATAACGCGCCGGGCTTAGAACGCGCCCGGCGCGGATCATCGAAAGCGTAAGCCGTCGTTTCTTACGCCATTTCGCGAATCTCGAAGCGACTTACATCGAATGAAGCTGCTAAGTTACGCGACATCGAGTGCGACATTCACGACAGCTGCAATTTGCCAAATGCATTTGCCGAGGGCAATCGTCGCTCGTAACTCCCCGGGCATTTATCTTGCAAAGCGACGTCTTCACTGCATTTCCCTGTGTAATTAACGCACAAGACTCGATGTAAAATGTGTAAAAATATAGAATATGTCATAACGTACCTGGATGTACCGCAAAGAGCAGCAGGTCGATTATTTAATTTTCTGCATGTAGTCTAATATATTTAATAAATATAATGTAACAAATAAATAAATATATATATATATGTACACACATATATATATATATATATATATATATATATATATATATATATGTAAGCGCCTAATTAAAGATCATGTAGGTCGCACCACCTATGAAAAATGGGCCATATTAATTAGACTAGTTGATCGACAGATTGAGCTGCGATCGCTGGGGGTCGAGCGTTGCGGGGTTCGAATATTGGAGCAGTGAGATTACGTTG